CGAAGGGATAGAGACAAGGGCTTGATTGGGGGTAAGACTTGGGGATCCATGAGGGACGTGCCAATTTGGGGCGTCCCTGAAGGGACACGAGTATCTGGGACCTTGAAGGAGATTGGGGGGTGCATGGGGAGTGGTTCCCACGGCCCAGCTCTGGGGACTGAGCCCGCTCCACTCCGGGTGATCCAGGCTCCGGGCGGCCACACGGGCCGGTGATTCACCTGTCGAGGGGCGGGGTAGCCGCGGGGCCTTACACCTGTCGGCAGGATTCCAGGCTCGGAGCTCTACTGCGCAGGCGCCCGGGCCCGCGGCTCCGCCTCCCAGGTGAGTGGCTCTAGGTCGGGTCGCACTTTTCCCCTATTTCCACCATTGCAGACTCTCAACCAGAAAAGCACGCTCAGCCAGGCTAAGCATCCCACCCAGGTGAGCTCAAGTGGGTCTCCACTCAAAGTGCGTGTATAACTTCAAAGAGGCTCTCCTGGGTCTAAAGTCACATGTTGTTGAATAAATGAATACATGAATAAGTCAATTAATGAGTGGCTCCTGGATGAACTGCTATTACTAATGATAATATTATAAAAGGAACAAGCATTTCCCCATAACCTTGTGTCCCTGATGTTATTATTTATAATAATAATCCCTATTGGCCCGCCTCACCAAAGACAGCCTAGAGAGGACAGCAATGAAGATAAGGAACATCAAGGAGATGAGACCCAAGGTCAGCAGCCACATCAACGTTGGTACCGCTGCAACTTCAATTACCAATGCAGACGCCCAGAAAACCCTAAACCACAAGACGGCAAAGAGACAGAAGCAGGGGATCTACCAGCTGAGAATTTGGCTGAGAATTCGTTGCTCCAGAGGCTGAAGAGGCAGGGCTGAGTCAATGCACGCTTCCCACCTCTACCACCATCTGGTTTAGTCATCCAATAAGAAATGATTATGAAATTCCAGCAATAAGAAATGAGCAAAAGATTGGAGCTCAAGACCTTAAGTGCTTGCTTTTTGTCCAATGACCAGATAACTAGATATGCATTTTTTACATAAAGATAAACTTTTTGGAGGGGTTTTAAGCCTGTTTTTTCTCAATACACCTATAAAAGTTTTTAAATTATTTCATATCTAGTAAAGTTTAGATTTTTAAGACCCCCATTTTTAACTTGTAACAAGTTTACAATTTTTTTAATGTTAACAAACTACAAGCACCTGTTAATAATGATGTTAAATAATAAAAAAATAATCCCTATTTATTAAGCATTTGATGTATGCCAAGCACTATGCTGAGTTCATTGTATTAAGGATTTATTTAAATCTATACAATCAGCCCCATAAAGAAGGAACTATTATTGCCCCATTTTGCAGATACAACAACTGAAGCTCAGAAAGTTCAAAGCACTTGCTCAAGGTAACCCAGAGCCCAGAATTTAAACTGAGCTCTGTCTGCCTCTGCTCAGCTCTCTCTCAGCCTCTGCCCTGCTCCCTACAGCCCTCTGTCTTTCCCAAATTCTTGGGTTCCTTCCTGGTCACAAGCCAGGGAGAAACCCCTATTTCACAGATGCAGTGAGGTTCAGACAGGAGAAATGACTAACCCAAGGTCAGCAATAAAGTGGCAGAGCTGGGCTATATTACAGGCCTCCTACACCCCCACCTCAAATCTTGATAGGGGAGAGTACAGACGGTGTACCCACAACTGCCAAGCCACTGCTATTGGTCCCTGAAGATTTGTTGATTGAATTATAACTACCTCCATCAGGGGCTTTACATGTGACCTCAGGCAGCTAAGAATTCTGTAAAGTTGGGGTTACTGAGTTCATTTTCCAGACTAGAACACTGAGACTTAAAGATTTGAAGTCCCAGCCCTAGCTGGTGTGGATCAGTTGGTTGAGCATTGTGCTATGCACTGAAAGGTCATCAGTTCAATTCCAGGTCAGGGCACATATCCAGGCTGCAGGTTCGATCCCCAGTCAGGGTGCATGTAGGAGGCAACCGATCAGTGTTTCTGTCTCACATCAATATGGGGGTTTTTTACTCTCTCTCTCCCTCCCTCCTTCCTCCTTTCTCTCTCTCTAAAATCAATAAAAACATATTTTTTTAAAAAAAGTTGAGCCCAGCCAGTGTGTCTCAGCGGCTGAGCATCAACCTATGATCCAAGAGATCAAGGTTTGATTCCTGGTCAGGGCACATGCCCGGGTTGTGGGTTCAGTCCCCACCAGGGGGCGTACAGGAGGCAGCCGATCAATGACTCTCTCATCATTGATGTTTCCATCTCTCCCTCTCCGTTCCTCTCTGAAATCAATAAAAATATATTAAAAAAAAAAAAGTTGAAGTCCCAGCCGGTCTGCAACATGATGTGGGATTTGAGCCCAAGCCAGGCAGACCTCAGAGTTCCTGCTTTTAACCCTGCTGATTCCAGGGGAATCAAGAAGTTGCGCAAGCCACACATATAGGAAGTAGTAGAGGCATTCACGGTGGACAGAGAGGCAGGGGGGCAAGACAGACTGCATCCCCACACAGGGCCCACTAATGGCTCAGAGCCAGGCACTCACAGGCAGGCAGCCTCTCCAGAGGGCAGCTGGGTGCAGCGACCTCCATTAGAACACGGGCTTCCATCCAGGCAAGGGGGAGCTGTGTGGGGGTGAACAGAGGTGGGTGGGTCAGCCAGGTGTCCAGGAACCCCAGCTCAGAGTGACAGATCCCCTCCTTCCCTCTCCCAGGCAACAGCTGCACAGAGCTGGGTGCAGGGAGCCCCTCCATCTAAGGTTCCCACGGCTTCCCACCCTGGCCCCAGCTGTTGGGGCCGCAGCTGTCCCTGCCAGCTCAAGCCCTGGGAACCACAAGGCAGGGGCAGGCAGGAGGAGGTGCTGACTTGTGCCAGATGTGGGGGCTCAGGAAGCTGCCAAAATGGGGGATGCAGAGGCAGGAAGAGAGGGTGCTGAGTGTTAAAGGGAGGTCTGGGGCTGTGTGCCCAGATCCTGGGGTAATGGAGGGGGCAGGGGCAGGGAGTCCTGGGCCATGGCTGTCCCTTCCAGTGATGTTGGGCATCACCAGCTGTGCAGCCCCGTGCAGTGACTCTGGGGAGAGAGGCCAGGGCATGTATCCCAGGCTTAGCTAGCACTGGGTGTTGCAGGGTGTGTCTTGAAGGGAGGGGCAGCTGGCCCCAGACATGTACTGCCCTGTCCAGCATCCCCATCCCTGAGGGCTGTGTCCCTTTGGGGTGTGGCACTGTCTAACTGTCCTGCCAGACAGGTCTGGGGCATGGCTGGGTGTGAGCTAGTGGAAGATTGTGTGTGCTGGTAGGTGTGGGGCCACTGTGTGCATGTGTGTGTCACAGAGAGATAGAAAGATGGAGGGAGATAGAGAAAAACAGATATAAATAAAGGAAACTAGAAGCAGGCAAACACAGAGAGAAGGAGACAGACAAGTACAGAGACAGAGAGAAAGGGAGAGGTAATAGAGACAGAAGGAGCTGGACATGAGAATGGGCCAATATGACATATGTCCCCTGAGCAGCGGGACAAGCAGGGACAGGACACTATCATCCCGATAGGAGCCTATGGGTGTTTGTGGACTCACACTGGGGGCCACGAGTCCCAGGCTGAGGGCCTCGCCTCACTGAGCTGTGTGCTGTGAGCCACATGTATATACATGACATGCAAGAGTGTACAGATACGTGTGCCATATGTCTGCAGGCTGGATCTGTTGTGCATCCATGTATATGAACCGTGTATTTGGGTGTCTGTGTGTGGGGCCTGTGTGTGCACAGGTGTGTCTGTGTATAGGTTGCACATACCCATCAGCTGGGCATGCCCTTGAATCTGTGTCTGTATATGTCTGAGTGTGTGAAGACAGCTTGTGCAAGACCTTGGGCTGGTGATGCACTTTATGTGAACACGTATGATTATATGTGCACATCAGTGTGTGTGCCTGGGTATGTCTTGTGTGAGCTGGGG